TGGGGGGGGGGGGTGTAAGATTATATAACAGCCCCTAATACAATGCCCGGACCTTGGAGAGACCCAAAGACTTGGAAAAACGTATTTTCCATCGTTGATCTCAACAGGATTCTAGATTTGATTAAGACGACTGGTTTTTATAAAAAATGTAAATAGTGTTATTTTCAATTATGTACATTATATAATTTACTATCATCTCAATATATTTTGAGGATTCACAAGCAGTACTTTAAAAAACCATCTGCACAGCTTACGCAGACAAGATAAGACATATTAAGAAACATTGCTCTCAGGGCACTATATCCGCCTGTTTTTTCTGAAACTACTCTTAATGCTCGTTTTCTCTACAGTTTACAACTCCCACTTATAAACATTGAACACGGTAAAGTAGCATCACCATACTTTCTTATTGTTCAGGGTGTTGTTCTGGACCACCATCGTTTGCTAGAGGCAGCGAAACACAAAATAGACACACAGCTAAGTGAGCAATCAGAGTTTAGTCATCTATATGCATTATGGCAAAAACTAAAGCCGTGGGGATCGAGGAACTAAATGGGGAGATTAGACATTTAGAAGGTTGCGTAGTACAGTGGAACCTGCCATGACGGCCACCTGTACAAATGGCCACTTTCTATTTCCCCCCTTTCGTTTTTTCTATATAATTTAACTGTGTAAAACGGCCACCTGTCCAACGTGGTTGCGACCACCATATTTTAACACACAACCCCTATTGCACCAAACAATAACACCTGCTTTAGACGGCCACCTCAGTGACTCCGTAACATTTTGTCATAAATCATACATTAGCCCCTGGCTTTGTGGGCGAGCCATCATAATCCAATCACCTGTCATTACTAGATAGTCCTTCCAACCGACCATGTTGCTTTGGCCCCTCCCACTGTTGACCAATAGGTTACAAATTTTCAGCTGCTGGTGAGGTAAGCCACCGTAAGTGTATGATCCCTCATAACCCATAAGCCCCGCCCAGAACTCTTACACAAATCGTAAGTGAGATGAGTGGTCACTGTTTACCCAATCTGTAACAAAGTAACAATGGACATCAACAAGAACTTGCGACACGTGAGTGGTGGCGACCAATGTGTTTGTTTTAGCACGGCTCGCAGTCTTCCTCGTCTAACACATTTCGTTTTATTGTCACTCTTTCACAAAATCAGTCACAACATTTTTTAAAAAGCAAAAAAAAAAAAAAAAGAAAACAACAACAATGCTGCTACCTTCGGTTGGGATCTCAGAAGGGAATGGTTTGTTGTTTTCTTCATTTGGACTAGTCCTCCCGAAGACGGCCACTTGTCTTATACGGCCACTTGTCTTATATGGCCACTTGTCTTATACGGCCACTTGTCTTATATGGCCACTTGTCTTATACGGCCACTTTTCTCCTCCACAATGGGCGGCCGTCTTACACAGGTTCAACTGTATTTTCTGACTCGGAAGAGGAGAGAATTAACTTTCCAGAACAATTGACGGAGAAAGAAGACAGGTTGTCTGAGTTATAGCATGAACTCCTTAGCCCTTGGACTGTTCTCATTTAGACAGCATACTTGACACACACAACATCACACCGCAGGCATATCACAGCTTCTCTTTCATTGGCAATCACTGCCACTAATACATCATGAGTCGCATTTATAAAGACGTTACTGCATTTAATGAAACAGAAATAGAAAACACCGACAGCCAAAATATAATTGACACTGCTTACACTCTGGGAGAAAAATTCAGTCAATTAAACAATGCATTTAGGGGGCGTTCACATCCACATCTCACACGGCCAACCAGTGTTAAAAGACGGACTACCACACATTGACACATGCTTCAGAACTTACATGTCATTGTACAAGAGTCACTTTAGTGAAAAGGTACTTCCCAAACACCACATTCTTCAAAACCGCTGCATCCCATGGATACAAACATATGGTTTGGTTTGGCTTTACTTGTGGAACAGGGTGGTGAATGTATCCATGCTTCTGTGGCAAAGCTAGAGAGAAGAGGAGCTGGGATACGCAATGTCGAACAACAGCTGAAAGTTGTGATGCCTTCTCAGCACCTCATGTCAAATCCAGAACTATTATCCAACGTCCCTCAGACAAAGAAAAAAAAGGTGATACTGCAATCTACTCCTCACTACTCCTGTAGTTCATGTAGCCCCCCGCCCCTTTGAGGAGACTAACCTTCAGACCAGAAAGGAAAAATAATAGAAGATTTTTTATTTCAAAATAACATCTTCCTCTTAAATGATAGGTCCCCAACTTACAGAAACAGAGCCAGTTTTAGCACTTCATCCCTTGACCTCACCTTTTATACCCCTGACCTAGTCCCAGATCTTGAGTGGTCAGTGCTGGATTACCGTTCGGACCATTTCCCAATACTTCTAAAAAACAATAGCTTCCAAAACGACCTGATCCCAGAACACCAGAACGCTTCAACTTCAAAAACTTTTTTCCTCACTACTCCAAAACCGTGGACTTGGCACAAAAACAGCAAAGTGAGTTTTGATATTTGACCATTTTTGGTGTATTTTATGTGAATATGAAAAATTTTTTGGGGGCTTTGTTTGATTGAAATGTTGATTTAAAAATATACACCCCAAGGGTCTACACCCCCCAAATTATGAGCCATTTTTGGAATGCTTTATATTTATCGTTATTTCATACAGTTTTGCACCTTTCTCAGTAAGTGCAGAAGTTCGCTCTTGTTCGGAACAGGCAAAATAAAATGAGGGCAAAGTCACAGATCGGCGTAATTTGCGAGTTAAAAATTCTGAGTCCTAAAAATGAAATGAACAACGCTGTCAGCAGGACACGAGGAATTCCCCTGGCCACGAGTTCATGACCCAGCGACCGGGGTCAGATTACAAGATGCAGCGCGCTGGCTGCCTGTGAACTAAAATACTGCTTTCTAACAGCCGTGGGCTGAGCTGAGCCTTGAAACCTGGAACCTGCAACCTCATGATTATATGTTTGGTAGCCCAACCACTAAAACCAGATAAACATTTTCATTCAGTCAGCCATGCCGTTTGTACTGGAAGCTTCTATATATATATAAGTAGTTCTTAGATCTAACTCATTTTTTTTGGTCTACCTCAGGCGTACGCTTTGTGTCTGCTGTTGGGTCAGTGGATGGCACCTGTGATGGCTGGCAGGGTCACTTACTTCAGCAGATGGGGTCTTCTGGAGCAGAGTTGTTGGTAGTGCCTACTGACTTTTACCACCAGTGTCTCCGCGCTCGTCTCTTGCCGCAGATGTTTGAAGAGACAAAGAGCAGCAGTCCTGTAAGGTTTTTTTGCAATTCGACGGTGTTATATGATTTGTCTTTGAAAATTTTTATAATGGCACACAACATTTTTTAGTTAAATAATGAGGGAAGATTAGTCTACAGTACTACCATTTACAATGCATGCTGACTACTCATTTTATGGAATACCGGAAGGTCAACTTAACTCATCTAGGCAATGGTTTTAGTAGAAAAAAAATTGACCTATTTCTTCAGTAACACGGATAGAGCAAAACGCCATCCAACTTTTAAAATAAATATTACATTTTACATTAGTGGTACCTGTTACAACATGGCTGCCTTCTGACAAGATTTTGTTTAATGGAAACCAAAACAAAAAAGACTTTTTTACTCTTTGCATTGGATGTGTAAATAATTTTGAAATATATTTTTGTGTGTTGTCTTTTTTGTACTCAACCAGGAAAACGGGCTAAGCCAGGAATTTTTTTTTTCATTTTCCCTGGTCAGGTAAACACTAAGAAAATGGTTTAAAACGGAAATGAACGGGAGAAGGCCAGGAAATCAAAGGGTTTCCCATCATTATGAGTGTGGCAGAATTGTATTTTTGTTCTTCAATGTTACAAATATATGATCATAACATCCCTATTCCAATTTGTCAGAATTTATTTGCCGTTCGGCTACTCCAACACATTCCTACCTTACTAGTGCATGAGGAAGAAAAACAATCGGACACCACTAGTCTACATCACTTGCTGATAACTTTAACATATGTGAGCGTACCCGGTGAAAGGGTCCAGATGACGCATTTAGAAGAATCCCGGTTATTTTTTCATTTTCATGTTCAGAGATCATTTCTGAACATTATGCTTTAAAAATTTTTAAAAGATATCTTCAGTAGTTTTTGAGATATGGGTGATTTTGTAAGACAGGGTACGGAAACAAAGTTTTGAGAAAAACAGCTTTAAAGTTTCCCCTTTGTTTCTGCTTCAAATAAATAGATCTACGCTTCGAGATGACCGGACAACACATTCACTACTCACAAACCAACCTTAAAAAGCAGTTAAGACAAAAGAACAGCTTCAAAGAGTTTATATTATGTCTTCAAAACAAATTTACCACCGCCTTGAACAAGAGTTTTCTAGAAATAGATCTAGGTTTGCACAGGGCAGAAAAATGCGATACAAACTTGCTCTTCAAAAAGGCGAAAGGGTATGGATGCGCAAAGCTTTGCTTTTGTTTACATGTTCTAGATATTCATGTGCACTACCCGCCACTAGAGAGGGGAGAGAATGACCTAAATTTTGGTATGCAATGTGATTGGGTCAACTTTATGAATGGGCAAGAGAAACCATCCGCAGTGTGTACTCAGAAGACCAATTTTCTCACGCTTCTTTCTTGGATTAAAAAATATACGTCGTGTTAAAAAAACATCTTTAACAATGTATTTTAAAGTAAAAGAAACTCAAGTCCTTGTAAATATCGATATATTAATGGTTAAAGAATCCATTTTTAAAGGAACTCAGTTTTTGTCAAAAATTCTGAAGCCTGATATCTCGGTTCGAACAAATGCATCTTGTGGTCCCTTTCACCAACCATGCACACATATATTAACAGTTTGTGCACCCCATTAATTGTAAAGGAGTAAAGCCAACATGAAAACATGTAAAAAAAAGTTCTTGCGCGTCTGCATCGTGCGTGCCTAGGCAAGAGAACTTTTTTTTTCAAAGATAAATAAAAAATAATAAAAACTGGACCAAGTATCAGCAGTGGGGTGCACAATAAGGATGAAAGGTTTAGGATGCTTCCTGTCAGTTTTTAAAAATAGTTTTTGCAAGAGTCGAGCCAACAGCCAATAACTGTATCCTCTCACCCCCCTCTGTCTTTAAAAATGTTTTCTTATCTCAACAATGATGAGCCTGCAGAGCATCCTACAACCCCTGTTCTTGACACCCCAGGGAAAGAAACTAGCCATGACCATATCATATCTTGCATTGCTTTTCATTTCTTCTTTCTAGCCTTTTCATCTTATTTAAAAAATTGCCCTTGAAAATGGTTACAAATTACAAAAAGTAGTAGGGATTTGTCACTCGTCTGCTTTTGTCTCCACTTTTGCCCTACTTTCCCTGCAACTGAATTGATGTTCTGAATGTATACTTATGGGAGGTGGATGGCTCCATTCTTAGTCCTCTCATTCTGCCTGCTCTGAAGCACCTCAACTTTTGTCTTTCCATGTCCAGGAATATCAGCGTAAAGTCTTGCTGGATATGGCTCTGGAGAGAGGTCTTATTGCTGCTGTGGTTCATCAATGTATCCAGCTGTGGGCGGACGGTGACTACACTCAACAAGGCTGCACTTTGACCTTGCTATTGGACTGGGCATGGGAGAGGACCATCAGCATAAAGAACTCTCTCAATTCTACTTGTAAGTTTGGCTATGACGCTTGGGAATTTAATTCTTCTCTCTGAAAGAAATTTTACCCCCCTCAAGGGGCGGTGCCACTGACTGAAGAGTCTTTAGGCCATTCCCAAAGGGGGGACATTAACTTGTTCTTATGCCCAGTAGAATTGTAAATGGGCTGATTCAACAATGTCATGCTCATAACTGTGCCTGAATTGCAACTGGGAACTGCTGCTTTTTCTTTCCTAATACTTACTATCATCAGTTACCTTTACTTCTTTTGTATGTTTGTCATACTCTTGTGACCCGCTATTTCCGGGGTGCCTTGATAGTTGTAGCAGACTTTGTGCTATTGAAGCTAGAGAGGTGAGTAGAGTAAGCATGATTCCCTGTAAAGACTTCTCTGTCGACATCCACTCCTTGGCGCTCATATGACCTTATGCAGTTGCGAGTGCCATAAAACCTCTTCTAATAAAATAAATTTTGCCCTGGTTGCGAATGACAGCATTAAGGAATTTCTTCTCTTTGTCTGTCTCTTACTCTTTCTCTTTCTCTTTTTCTCTGTCACAAACACAAGCTCATGCACACACACATCACATACACACTTACATTCATCTGTGCAATCTGCCAAAATGCCTGGTTGAAACTGCTGTTTACTCTGACATTTCGATAACTGTATCAGTTGCCTTTTCTACTAGCCGTACTAGCCTCTCAATGTATTTTTTGGTGATGGTCTTTTTTGTTTATATTGATCCAATAAAGTCAAAGAGGGGACTCTTGTGACCCAGAGGTTAAGGTGTTCGCCTCATATTCTATAGGTCCCGGGTGCGAATCCATATAGTGCCGGAAATTTCCCTCTAAAATTGTCTCTTTTAACCTCCTTTCCTGCTCTCTAGCAATGTTCTATCGTCTGCTTTTGTCTCCACTTTCAGCCCCCACCTCCTCACCTTTTTTGCCCCCACCCCCTCACCTTCTTTGCCCCCACCCCCTCTCATTCCTTGCCCCCTCCTCTGGGCTCCTGACTCTTTCTGCAGCCTTTCTACTTCTACTCCTTGGTTCCTTCTTACTGCTATCTTTCAGCCACACCCTTGATCTTCTGGTAGGAAAGATCTACACCAAGACTTCTCAGACTACGGTGAAAAATCTCAGAGGTCCTGTGTGCAAATTGTACACATTAAATATCCCTTGGTGGTCAAAAATCGATAACAGTAGGCTTCAGCCCCCACCTGGGCAAAATTCAAAATTTCCTACCAACTGAAAATGTTTCATGTTTCCTGTGACTTCATATGACCTTATGCAATAAAAAGACTAAAAATATTAAGCTGAGCTACATCTGTTGACTCTTTCAATTTTTCTGGATATTTTGTTCATCAGTTGAAGTTTCCATAATATACAGGTGGTTGGAGGGCTTCAGTGGTACATCTGGATTTTCTTTTCCTCTGATATTATAGTCTTTCTGACCAGCTCTTTCCTAGCACTATAGGCCTAATATTATGTCGATGAACTTTTTTCTTACTCACAGCATGTAATGTTCTGTTTCAAATATAATAATCATAGTAATAATCATAATAGTAAACATAATAAAAATGATTATCTTTTCTATAGTGCCCACTCTCTGGTGGCGCGAAGCACTTCACAATAAGATTTAAATCGTTTCATGCATACTGGCCCCTTTAATGTACAACAATTCTTTCAAATACTTATACGCTCATAATCTGATAAAGAACATATACACAATAAGACAACCGCTGTGGCTACTGATCACACTTGGTGTTGGAAGAAGAGTAAAACTAGTTAGTATAATGTTATTTAAGTAAATGTGTTTTTAGATCAGATTTAAATATGGTCAAATGCAGTGGGAGGAAACTCAATACTGAGGGAGCAGCTGTCAAAAAAGCCCTCTCTCCAATTTTCTTAGTTTAATCAAGGCTCTGTCAGTTTTTTAAATTTTAAATTTTTAAATGGAATATACTCATGTTACGATGTAGTAAATTAGAAAGATATTGTGGTGCAAGGTCATTTAAACACTTTTTTCACATTACTGCAATTTTGTAATAAATACAGGCTGTAACAAGGAGCGAATGTAGTTGTTAAAGCAATGATGTATTTTCATTGGGCATTTGAGAGCAACTCTTTCATAATCACCTCACTTATTCTTTACGCAGGTGAAGTGTTATACGACTGGTCCGCCCACCACGTAGACCCACGGACCAACAGACAGTTACAATCGTACACCGGGGCTCTGGCTCACCTCAAGCTGGTTTTCTCTGTGCTTATGTCACAAGCTGCTCCCACCACTGAGAGAGGTAGGGTCAGATCATGGGACATGACGATATCATGCTGGGGAGTGCTGCAGAAAGCCGTTTGTTCGAATCTCCAAAAGAGCATTCTTGATTCAAATATCCTTAGGTTTATCAGCAGACAGCCACTTCGGGCATTCAGTTTAATTTGATAGTGACACCGTTCCCTTTCTTCACTGAACAGTTTGTGTTAAAAGCTCTAACATTTGTTTTCTCTTTGTTCTTTTTAATAACTTGCCATTATGAGTTGGATGGGAAATACGATTGAAAATGCTGTGCTCCTGATTCTGTGGAAATCTTAGATTGAATTCAACCTAGTATAGATTCATATGACTATTAGTATAAAATGTATCACATATGTAGTGAAACCCCCGGGGCAGTGCCACTGACTGAAGTGTCTTTAGGCCATTCCCATAGGGGGGACATTTCTCGTTCAAGCATAGTAGTAGGTAGTACAAACCAAAAATTCAAACCTGTTGTAAATTGCAAATACAGTTTTATTTAGATACTGCTTTTCACATAAGGAACAATGCAAAAAACCAGATCAAATTATCTTCATAAATAAAAAAGTTACAAACGTTTAAAGATTTTCCGACTTAGAATTTTCAAGGACATTTTTAGAAAGTCCAAATTCTGCCAGCTTTGAACATGAATAACATAAGAGAAAATTATCTGAAACTCAAAATGTTTACATTTCTCTCAAGCTTAGGACAATGGTATTCTAAAAAACCCAAAGAAATTCTTATATATTTGTAAAAAAAGAAATTTAGGCCTGATGTAAAAGTGAAAAATCAAGGCATTTCATACAAAAAATGTAACACATTGGCTCCGAGCCCATTTTGTGAGTTTCACAGTATAAGACTGAGGCATCACACAGAGTTCCTACTTTATGGATCATCACCCCTGAACACATAGATTAAGCTCAATTTTTTTCAGACACGACAGAAGTACAGAATTAACAATAATCCATGTTCAAGTTTGCAAAAATGAAAAAAAACACGCGTCGACAGAAAATTGCAGTTTTCGGACATTTTCTTAGTATTTAAAAGACCATAACTTTTGATCTAATGAAGCTATAATAACAAATCTTATATCAAAATCCTCAGCATTTCAAGACCTATGCAATGCAGTTAAAAACATTGCTATCAAGAAATGGCTACATGCTCTTTTGGTTTAGCAAAGTGGACATATATGACAATATTCATGAAAAAATATGAGTATCAAACGACTCAGGAATAGATCTAGTTGTTTTGAACTTTTCTATTAAAGATCTATAGTCACCAATATTTGTATCTTTATATATATACAAATATAATACAAAGCAATATATATGTCTTTATTTTAAAGACAAGAATAGGTGGTGTCACTGGCCTAGAGGTTAGGTTACCGGACTCGTAATCGTGAAATTGCGCATTTGTAGCTCTGGTTGATGACTGTCATCTTCTTCCTGGTGGCTTCAATATTGTGTTGCAGTTGCCCCTCAGTCACAATCTGATCTGGAAATAACTCCAGGAACCAGGATAGAACCTGTGGAAGAGACCATATTCAATTCTTTAGAGTTTGCTGTGATATTAATAAGTACCGGTACTTCATACAAAATTGGAAAAAGCTCCCGCAGTCTGAATCTATTTATTTTTCAACAAGTACAAGTTACAACAAGATCATATTATGAATAAAATGTTATAATTTATCAAAACTGGGCAGCAATCTCAGCTCCGAGGAATTCCAAAGGGTAATATTATTAGGTACATACAGCAAAATTTGGGCAGAAGCTCCCGCGGCCGGGGCATTTTTTTTTAGCACACAAGTTCACATAAAAATTGGGCAGAAGCTCCCGCGGCCCGAAGGCACTTCACAGGATAAGATAAATGATACAGCTAACGCAGTTCCTCCCAACCCACTAAAAAAAGAGGGGGGAGGGGGTGGGGAGGAGAGGTTAATGATCTACTTACATGGCCCCATGTTGATTGTCCTTCTCTGATTAAGAACAGCTGAGCCAGAACTTGGTTTGTCAAACCCATGCCATAGAGGGTAGGTTATAGGGCATCATCCTTTCCCATTCATCAGAAAGCGGCTCTTCCTTGCAGCATATTGATCACCTGTTGGTTGAAATGTCAAGATATTTTGTAAGATAGGCTTAGGAGTAGTAGATTTAATTAACATACAGATCTAGGGCTGCTTATAAAAAATATAAATGAACAACAGGTTAAGTTTGTAGTTTGTTATGTTTCTACTCTCGACAGGAAACCCCAATGAAAACAGCCAATCATAATGTTTTATTAAGAGATATTAAGACTTTTATTAAGAGATTATCATCGCTAAAAATAGCACACCAGAGGCCAAGTCATTTTGTTCCTGTTTTGCTCATTCTTCATGTCCAAGTACATTGACATTTTGCAGACAGGTTAAATAACCCTAAAAATATAATCCTTGATACCAATTATTACACGGAAAAACAATTTAAACTTCATCATAAAATTATTCCATCACGTCAGGATGAAAACAAGCTCTGGTTTCACCGTCACCGTCAGACACAATGATGGAATGGCACTTCAACCTTCTAGGCATCTATTTGCTTAAAAAACAGCACATTAATTTATTAACAAACACTTCTTTATGATAAATACTTACATGTTTTCTTCAGATGAGTCCAGTTTGAATTAGAAGCAGCTAGCGATGTCTCGTTTTGCATTTCACCCGAATCCTGACCGAAACTCGCTCCGGCTGGTAGACCATAGCTGCCACTTTCCCGCTAAATAGCGGAAACTCCGCTACATCTAGCTTTCCCAGCAACTTTCCTCCTTCCTCCGCTGGACCGCTCTTGGTCGCAAATTTCATACTTTTTTTCCACGCGGAAAACACCGAACCGGGAGAGAGACGAAAACGCGGTCTGCGCATGTCCGCCCGTAGCTTTCTACTTCCGTTCTTCTAGGCCCAGTGCTAGTTTCACATTGTTTATTGTTGTGGAGCAACACAGTGTCGATCGGGCATCGGGACGTTAGCGCGCCGAGTTGTCATTGAAATTGGCGGAAATTCGAGAGAAATTGATTCAGAATGCAAAAATAAAAGGAGCTGGAATGAGAAAGAAGCAGCCGGTGTGCGACTTGAAAAGTTCATTAGAAAATTGAACTAGCTGTTTTTTGCGAAAGAAATCGCGGCCCGCGGCACTCCTGTTACAGTCCTGTACAATTGCGGTCCCGTTTGTTTACATGACGGCTATTGTGGCTGCTGCGGAAGTGAATCTAGATTTAGATCTAGAAAATCTATCTCTAGATATAATCTAGATCTACACATATTTAGATATATCTAGATCTAGATTAGGTAGCCTAGGCTATAATTTTAATTCAGTTTATCTCTAAATAAGAAACACACTACAGGGGCACTAAGTGCAAACTGGACCGCAATTGTACAGGAGTGCCTGTGTATCCTTGATCGGATACTGCTCTATGTCTATGTATGTACACGTTTAAAGTGAAAGAAATCTTTTTATGAGACACCAGCTGGCAAAAAACACTAGATTTTTAGTCACCAAGTCCAAACTGTGTCAAATTGACTCGAATTCTTGTTAGTCAACTTACTGCCTTTATGTTGTTGTTTTTTTTGTTGTTTTTTTTTCAAATACATTTTAATTCAGTTGCCTATGGTTAACAATATGACAGTTTTCCCTTCCAAAACCGTAGGCTAGATTTTCCAGTATATATTGCCTCTGGATTTCACTGGTTTCGGAGAGCGCGCGTACGCTTTCGCGTGAATTTCCTCCTTTTAAAAAATTTCTGAGTGGCAGCTATGGTAGACCAGCGGGATTCTCCATTTTGCCTCTGCCGCGTCCAGGCAAAGTAGCTTTACGTAGTCTTAAACTCGATCGTCTCAGTCCATCCTGATGTGTTCTATTACGTTTTAAACATAACACATTTGTAGATAAAAGGGTGCTGCATCTGAATGTGGAGCGTTTTTTTCGAAAAAAATCCAAAATCCGTGATAAATTACACTTTCAAAACTTTACACGAACATTCGTAAGGGATCCTCAAAGCGAAACGAGAAAAAGGTTGCATCCGGAAGTAGAGCAGCTTTTCCAGATTTTTATGGTCGAGACCGCAAAGAAATCCGACGTTCCAGGTCCGAGATATTGATGATTTAAAAATATCTATGACAAAAATCATGGATTTTGCTCTCGCCGACATGGGTGTATTTGCGTTTTACTGGTTCACTTCAAAACCCTATAAATGGCTTTAAAGTCAAATAAAAGTAAATTTAAACTTATTGATATAACAGACGAAATGTTGCCGATCAATGTGGGCACATTTTTATTGCCAAATTTGAAACTAAAAGACATAAATGACTTGGTTAAACTTGCGAAAATCTGCATTTTTCTCCGTCGCGTCGGAGCTTTCCAATCAGCAGCGCGCGGGGTTTGGACTACCTAATAGTAGAATTGTAAATGGGCTGACTCATGTCACGCTCATAACTGCGCCTGATCTACAACAGGGAACTGCTGCTTTTTCTTTCCTGATCCTTACTATTATCATTGCCTCTACTTCTTTTGTATGTTTGTCACTCTCTTGTGACCTTCTATTTTGGGGTGCCTTGATAGTCGAAGCAGACCTTGTGCTGTTGAAGCTAGAGAGGTGAGCAGTCTAAGTCTGATTCCCTGTAAAGACTTCTCTGTTGACACCCACCCCTTGGCGCTCATATGACCTTATGCAGTTGCAAGCGCCACAAAACCCTCTACTATTAAAAAAAAATAAAAAATGCATGTGGTGAGATTAGCAGTAATTTTTTCAATGATTACGAATTTTGCTCCAAAGAATATACGTGTAACACGAAATTCAGAACCTGTAACAGAGATGCCAACCAGTACGATTTTACGTATTTTAGTAAGATTTTTTTCCAGAAAATACGACTTTTCAAGAAAAAATACGCATCCTGGAATGCGAAAAATACGAGATTGAGTAAACCTATCTCAAGTCCCATATTTTGTCAAAATAGTATCAGTATCGCAGAACTGGAATATTTGAAAACCAAGTCCGATGTGGTTAGCAAGTTTATTTTTGCCGGTCGCGATCGTGATATTATATTCGTTCTGCTTCTCCCTGTCCGGAGAGTACGTTTCACTTTCACGCGAATAGGCAGCTTCAGCTATGGCGGCAGGCGGAAGCGTATGTGACACCGAGGCTCGAACGGGAAAATCAAGATCTACTTTCGCTTTCGATACCACCGAGTAGTTTGCCAGCAGTTGTCTAAAAACGCAACATTTGTGACATGCAGGTGGTGCAGTATAAACGCAAGGTCGCCGTGCAAATAAAATTTAATCAATGCTCGGACTCGCCTCTGTGCTGTCACTTGTGGAAAAAAAAGAAAAGAAAATACAAGCGTCGTCCGATTATTAGATTGTCTGGCTCGCCATCGTGACCGGTCACTGAACCTACGCGCATTCGTGTCATAAATAAATGCGGCATCGTGTGAGCAAAGACCGTCTTTGGTGGGAGTAACGGCCTTGCGAAGTATAGGACTACGGAATAGGGGAGGAGATTATTGGTTTTTTAGGGGTTTAAGATATTATGGGGGAGGGTGTGAAGGCAACACCAGAGGACAAAAACTTGGGAGCACATTTTCAAAATTTTGATTAGAGCTTTCTGCAAAGCGCGCGTTGGTGCAGGCCGTGTGCGGAATTGGTTGTCGAAATTTGTGTTCTAGGCCCTTCCGAACTCTCAAAGCAGGATTTATTTTTTACATAATAATGAGAGGAAAATATTACCGGTATAATAGACTGAAATATTTAAGTCAAACAAGACCCCAGTACGACACTGAACTCTGACATGTTGTTGACTGGATACATGTATATTGTACGCGTGTGTGCTCCCTTTTTCGAGCTGGTGAGCTAGTAATTTTTTTTCAGGAAATATTGCTGGACACCCTGAACATTTTACTATTACTAGTTGGTCGGTCCTGGGGAATACAAATTTCCCCCTGAAAATACACATTTTCATATTTCCCAATACTCATTTCGGTTTTCTGTGGTTGGCATCTCTGCTGTAATGAGTTTGCTGTGTGCATATTAATTTTATTATGTGTGTGCTAGACTACTATTTGATTTGACAAGATAAGGGCCTTTGAATGTAAGCTGGTTGTCGAGATGTTGTGCTGTCTGTTCAGATCGTGGGTTTGAAATTGTGGCAGACTATGTGAGTAAATGGTATCCTTAAGAAAGACATCTCAATCTGATATTCCCATTTGCACACTGGAATTGGTCTTTGGCTACTCGTAGAGATGGATTGTTTGAAAAACATTGGCACGTGCCTCACAGTATGCACCCATATATGTTCTAAAGGAGACAGGTTGGAAAATGAAATTGAACTGATTTACAAAGGGGTACAACTTATTTGAATATTATTTTCACTCTTTTATGTCAAGTAATTTCCAAAAAAATAAAGTATTCAAACTGCAAAGGCCCTATACTATAATTATTTAAGAAAATCCCCCCCCCCCAAGGTTGCAGAAAAACATGCATTCAGGATGCCAGGTACTTAATTTTTTTCCTGATGAAATATGAATGTTTATTTTCTGGCTGTATTTACTCATCTGTTTCTCTTGTCTTCAGGCATCATTGAGCTGGAGCTGCGGCTAGACGTGATCAACTTGCTGCTCCAACACTACGACTTGGTGCGCTGGTCGTTGTCTGTGAACCTCCTGCCTGAGGTGGATGAGGTCAGTGACCCTGCCCCGGGACTGTTTGCTTACCCCATCACTGACCTGGGGGAAAAGTACAAGATGAAGAGGGCACACCTCCAAGGCTGTCAAAGGTTGGTGGTTCTGCTGCATTTGTTAATTTGTCTTCGTTGTAACACTTTTGATTTTTAAAAAATCAGGTTTCTAGTTATTGGTATTGTTAAAATGCTTGTTACTTATTTTGTATGCTCAATATAGCAAAGTTTTTGTTTCATGTGCTAAAATTCTTATTATCAAAACATTTTCACTTTGGTTGAAACAACTCAAGTAAATTGTCCTATAGTTACATTGTTCTCTGTGTATCTACTATCTATTCTCTGTAATCTATGTGATTACCCCCAGTGGGTCGGGGGGATATAAATAGACCCCCTGCTTCATCTGCAGAAGGTGCAACCCCCTCAAAGGCGGAGCGTCGCACACAGACCCCAACCCTCTGGGATCCGTGTGCGGCACTCACTTTGGTGTATCCTCCTCTTCTCCTTCCTTCTTTCTTTCTTCTTCTATCTTTCCTACCACCGCTGACCTCATGTGCAGCAAAACGAGAGGTCACCCATCCCACAGAGTGGGCGCCTTGTTGACCATGAGGTGCGACCCGTGCGGTGGGAAACCAGGCACCTGGCGGTTGAGGTGAGATCAGTCTACGGACTGTCCCTCACCAACACACCTTTTTGGCCCAGGTTTTCCTCTTAGACGGGAGGGTGGCACGGCCCATGCCACTCAATCGGTTGGCAGTTGAAACAACATCAAGACCTGGGTCAATCTTGACGGGAGGGTTTTATGCACTCTCGTGGAGAGTATAGCTCCGGGGTAGCCCTGGCACAGCTCTGGTCATCCGAGCAATGTGTCCCCTTGTTGGGCTCGATGGCGGGCGGGGAGCCCCGGAGTTGAACCACCAAAAAAACTCACATGGATTCTTCTACTACTAAAAACCCTCCCCCAACTCCCAACGTTATAAAAAAGTCTCGGCTCTCGGAAGCGGGTGCGGCCGCCGAGCCGAGCAAACAAACTACAAAAGGAAAAAGGACCTTTACGACTGCCTCTGCCCTCCCTCCTCTCAGGGAGCTTCCGCGGCAGCCGTACTTGACCATCCGCAGCACCGATGCACAGAAAAAGATGACTGATCTAAACGTATTCAAGATAGGAGATGCTCTAAGACAGGTTCTGGGATACATTCCTACGAATGTCCAGAAACTGTCCCCTGGTGCTCTCCTCATCAAGTGTGCATCAGATAAAGAACTGGCCGGACTTGAAAAGATAGCGACCTTCGGTGGTGTTCCTTGTGTTTCCGAGCGACACCAGAAATTTAACCAGTTGAAGGGCGTGGTCCGCAGCCATGAGCTGAAGGGCTGCTCCAACCAAGATATTGTGGATAACTGTGAGGGTGTGGTCGAAGCCCGCCGAATTACTATTCGGCAGGGGGAGTCCACGCTAGAAACGAACACATTAATTCTAACTTTTGATTCGTGCCGCCCTCCAGCCACCGTTCGGGCATCATACTTGGTCTTGGACGTGCGACCCTATGTGCCGAACCCTCTACGCTGCTTTCAGTGTCAGAAGTTTGGCCATAGTCAGTCGCGATGCCGACGTGCAGCCGTGTGTCCTTGCTGCGGCAAGACTGGGCATCCTGAAAAGGAATGCAAGGCTAGTCCTTGCTGCCCAAATTGCCAAGGCCAGCACACAGCCTTCAGCAAGGATTGCCCGACTTGGATCCAAGAACGCGCAATCCAAGAGTATAAAGCACGAAATGGCTGCTCTTTTCAAGAAGCCCGTAAAGCTGTCTGCCCGCCAGGTATGACCCCGGTCCCTGGCCGGTCATATGCAAGCATACTCCGGCCAGTCTCGAAGTCGACCAGTGCTTCCACTGTCGACCCCCCAGAACCCGCGGTCAACAAGAAACTTACTGCGAAACACAAAAAGGTTCCTCCTAAAACTGTGGTACCCACCTTCCAGGTATCACTAACCGCTTTGGGGTTCTTGGGGAGGATGGGGTGGACTCTTCCTCCGTCCCCCCTTCTCCCCCTCACCCCTCCTCTATTACTTCTTCTTCTTCTTCTTCTTCTTCTTCTTCTTCTTCTTCTTCTTCTTCTTCTTCTTCTTCTTCTTCTTCTTCTCCTTCTCCTTCTCCTTCTCCTTCTCCTTCTCCTTCTCCTTCTCCTTCTCCTTCTCCTTCTCCTTCTCCTTCTCCTTCTCCTTCTCCTTCTCCTTCTCCTTCTTCTTCTTCCACCTCACGACCCATCTCTCTGATGGAGATTGAGGTACTCCCTCCCCCCTCTCCCCAGCCCCCTCTGTCTGCTCCACCTCCCCCTACCTCTTCACTCCCCCCACTACCAACGGAGGATGACATATCCGACCCCCCTCCCCGGCCTGACCCCGGGAAGGGCGGAGTCTGTCACTCCTCCAAATCCCCCACTAGACCGCCGTCCAGGACGGCAACCTAGAAAACACTGCCTCCCCCGCAAGGAGGAGTCAGAGTGTTTCTTCGAAGCCGGGGCCTTTGAGTGAGCTCCAAACCAAAACCTAAAAAATCATAATGGCAGTCCTGCAATGGAATGCCGGCGGAATCCAACCTTCCATTGCAGAATTGCAACATTTACGGGCCACACTGTGCCCACGGGTGGCCTGTATTCAAGAAACAAAATTCGCCCCGGCTTCAACCATAGACTTATGGCACTTCATCCCTTGACCTCACCTTTTGTACCCCTGACCTAGTCTCAGATCTTGAGTGGTCTGTGCTGGATGACCGTACGGACCATTTCCCAATTCTCCTAAAAAACAATAGCCTCCAATAGCCTCCCGATCCCAGAACACTTCAACTTCAAAAAAGCCGACTGGGACGGGTTTGCCAATCAATGTTCCCAGATTCTTAATCCCAATTTCGACCACAACTACAATAAATTCCACGAAAAGCTTTTAGAAATATGCAAACAATAACGGTTTCAAGTTCTCCCCGTCAAAGACGGTTGCAGTACACTTCTGCCGAACTGGCAGACGTGTGCTGCAGCCGGATTTGACACTATACGGGGAAAGGATTCCCGTCCAGGACCAAGCTCGTTTCCTCGGCATCATGTTCGACAAAAAACTCACATTCATACCACACATCAAAGACCTTCGTGTGAAGTGCCAGAAAGCGCTAAACGCTTTGAAAATTCTATCGCATCCGGAGTGGGGCGGGGACTTAAAACACCTTCTCCACTTGTACATCTCCCTTGTCCGGTCCAGGCTTGATTACGGCTGTCAAGTCTACGAATCGGCAAAACCACACATCTTAAAAATGCTAGACCCAATACAGAACCAAGGACTCCGCCTCGCTCTGGGGGCTTTCCGCACTTCTCCGGTGGAGAGCCTCCAGGCCGAGGCCAACATTCCACCACTCTCACTCAGACGCACACAACTCTCACTACAATACGCAGTTAAACAGAGCTCAACACCGGAAAATCCAGCGCACAACAGCATTTTTCAAACAAATCCAGAAACCAGAAACAGATTCCAAAACAACGAAAAACTCATCAAACCTTTCGGCCTCAGAATCCTCGAGGACCTCAAAAACTTACACTTTTCCAAACAAGACATCCAACAAATTCTTTTCCCCGACCTCCCTCCGTGGCACCTCACCAAGGCAAAAGTAGATTTACAGCTGACCACACACAACAAAGAAAGCACAAACACCAAAACTTTTCAAGCAGAATACAAAAAACTAATAGATAAATACCCCGGTGCGGAGCTCATCTTCACAGATGGCTCCAAAAAAGACAATGAAGTGGGCGCCGCAGCCCTATCTTCCAACAGTACACACCAGAGGAGACTCCATCCTGAAACCTCCATTTTCTCTGCGTAGGCCACTGCCATTGACATGGCCCTGGACTCTGTAGAAAATTCTCCTAACGAATCTTTCCTCATCCTTTCTGACTCTCTGTCTTGCATCACCTCACTCACAAACTACACACTCTTACACCCAAAAATAGTTAAGCTACAACAGAAAATTCATACACTATCCAAAACAGGAAAAAACAAGTTCGCATGGATACCCAGCCATGTGGGCATCCGAGGAAACGAGCAGCTAGACGACCTGGCAAAGAAAGCCTCATCCCTTCTGCTGGGATCAACGACAAACACTCTCCCACAGACTGACTTTAGAAATAAAGTCAAAAAGTACACCTCCAGTCTGTGGGAGAGCCACTGGGAAAACCAGAAAAATAATAAATTATACGAAATTAAACCCAGACTAGAACAGCGAAATCCTTCGGATCTCTCCAGACGGATCTCTCCAGAAGAGACGAAGTCATTTTTACTCGATTGCGCATCGGACACACGGCCCTGACTCACAAATACCTCCTGCAGGGAGAGGAGAAGCCGTTCTGTGTCGGATGCGACACAGATTTTACCATTAGACACATTTTAACAGAATGTCTAGACTTTGGAGAGATCCGAAGGAAATATTATAAATGCAAGAAATTGCAGGATATTTTCTCCGTCGTTGTTCCCAGCAGAATTTTAAATTTTATAAAGGCCATTGGCCTTTATGGCGAGTTGTAAAGTGAATCTGATATTATTTAAAATTTTTATTGTTACTTAAAAGTTGTTTTAGATCACAAATGTATTTACACCGAATTTGAATATTTTAACTTTTTAGCATTTTAAAGTAAACTAGTTACCAGTCGTGAAGTGAACTTTCGCAGAGGTGAACAACTTGTGTTTCGCGCGCTCATATGACCTTAGCAGTTGCGAGCGCCGTAAAACCTTATACTACTACTACTACTAGTCTGTGGGAGAGCCACTGGGAAAAGCAGAAAAATAATAAACTATATGAAATAAAACCCAAACTAGAACAGCGAAATCCTTCGGACCTCTCCAGAAGAGACGAAGTCATTTTTACTCGATTGCGCATCGGACACACGGCCCTGACCCACAAATACCTCCTTCAAGGAGATGAGAAGCCGTTCTGTGTCGGATGCGACACAGATTTTACCATTAGACACATCTTAACCGAATGTCTAGACTAGAGAGATCCGAAGGAAATACTATAAATGCAAGAAATTGCAGGACATTTTTTCCATCGTTGGAAAAATGAAAACGTACTATTTAAAATTTTTATTGTTTCCTATGAGTTGTTTTAAATCACAAATATATTTACACTGAATTTTAATATTTTAACATTTTAATAATAATAATAATAATAATAGATAGCATTTGTATAGCGCATATCCCCGCTCAACAGCAGGCTCTATGCGCTTTACACTATATTATTACCCCAGCAGACCATAGAACACTCCGAAACATTCTCAGCTTCCCGGGAAGCATACAGTGCAAGCAGCTGATTAAGCGCTCAAACACTAACAAACTGACAAGATCTTTCGCTGTCTATAGCCGGGTACCCATTCCCTCCTGGGTGAAGTGAGGAAAATTCGTGTAAAGTGCCTTTCCCAAGGACACAACGTCAGGTCCCTGACGGGATTCAAACCCACGACCTTAAGGTTGCGAGTCTGAGAGCCTAATTTTAGCATTTTAAAGTCAATTAGTTAACCAATCGTGGAGTGAACTTTTGTGAAAGTAAACAACTTGTGTTTCGCGCGCTCATATGACCTTAGCAGTTGCGAGCGCCGTAAAACCCTATACTACATACATACATACATCTATGTGATTCCTGTCAGGGTGGTGGAGGACCTAAGCCTGCTACTGATTGATAACCTTGTGGAGTGTGAGGGCGACCAGATCAAGAAGCTGTGGGGAGACCAAGGAGGAAACGGCCTCTACCCACCTCCTTCCATGCAGGTGAGTTGTGTGCTGTCTACTGTAATTCTCTGTGGTATGACAGTCAGGCACTTCAGCACAGCATGTAAAAGACTAGCGTTTGATTCCCATTTTGGCGGAATTTTTATTGAGTATCTTGGTCTTTCTGCTGGGACACTGTATGATTCTTAAACCAGGTTGGTCCTGACGGGCAGGGTAGAAATTTACCTCCTAAATGACCTAAATTGTGTCGATGGAGGCGTGAATCCCTTTTTTATATAGTGTGCAGTCTGTTTTTTAAAAAACTCTACAATTTGAGGCATTAATTTTCTCCCCAGCGCTGCATGCATTTTTAAAGATGCCATCTTTGGAACTATATTTGATTGGTGACAAGGTGTGGCGTTTGGAAACAGATAATTTTTGATTGGTAAAGGCAAAGATTTGAATTCATCTTGGAAGCAGAGAAATGGAGTATTATACTCCTGTCCTGAAACATTTTTGGTGAATTTGAGATTCTAATAGATCCTAAATGAAAAGGTTAGCATATTTATGTCTTTTGCTTAATTATTACAATTTAATTTATAATCACAGGATTGAATTGTTCAAATTCAAAAGTATACTTTTTGTGGAGTAAGTGAGTGTTTTAAGGGTGTCCAAGGAAACTTGTACTTTTCTGTCTCTCGGTATTACTCTTTCTCGGCACTGACTATTATTGTAATAGTGTGCTTCTATTTACTCTAAAACTTGTGGTTGGGTAGTGCCTATAACTTTTGGACTTTCAAACTCCTTCCGTTCAGGTTCTCCTTCATATGTACTTCCTTCATGATGTGAGCCAGTTGTAGAACCTTTCGCCACCAAACAAATATTTTTTAGAATGATGTAACATTGCATTTTTTTGTGTGGATATATATGTGACAATTGTGCTTGTTACCGCATGATTTCTGTTGAAAAAAACCAACAAAACAGCCTTTATTACACCTCTATTTAGGCTCTGCTGCACATGTACCTGCTCCATGACGTGAGCCTGTCAGTGAAACATGCCATCACGCTGTACCTCCTGCGTGACCTGGCTGCCCTGGGGGACACAGATATGGAGGACACGGTCATCCCTAGCTTCATACAGCGCTTCTTCCTAAACCCCAGCCTGGTGCACCAAGTACAGGGCCTGTGGTCCATTGATGACGGAGATTTTGAGGTATCCTAACACATTGTCTTTACTTCATCTACTTGGACAGATATTAGATAAGACTGTACTTTTGAACATGTAATTTTTTTTTTTTTTCACTATTACATTAGTAACTGTATTTACCGTAAGATACACTTTTTTAGCAGCTCCTGGTGACAAGCTGGGGAATTGGGTAAAAGTCATGAAATACCAAGAAACATGCTTTGACCACGAGTGAGAATACTTATCCCTTGAATAGGCCTATTGTATGATTTAGTTTTGGTTTGTTCCATTTTTTAAACTAAATGAGATGCCTGAAATAATGCTGTGACATTGAACAGGTACACTGAAACCATACATTTTTATTAATTTTTAATGTGAATTAAGTAGTAACTTAAATTGTGTTCCAATAAAGTGGTGTTTTCCGTCAAAATAAGATTTCCTGGAAAATGCTCAAAAGAGCAACCATAGAATTTACTATTTTTTATTCACTCTGTCTAATCCAGGAGGGATTGCGCAGGTTGGTAAACCCGTGTGTGCGTGCAGACATCTGTGGCAACTGGAATCGCGATGCATCTGTGGTCAACACTCTTCTAGGTCAAGGACAGAATAAGGTGGCCATTCGCTACCTCCACGCTCTTGGAGCAGGGGGTGGGTCTCTGCAAGAGCAGCATCTGTACATCTCCACACTGGTCAGGAACAGGTACTGATTTTTGTTAGTTTATTTTGCTTTTTTTTTCCCGTGCTTAATTACTGAACAACATAGGGGAACTGCTACTTTTTCTTTCCTCATCCTTACTATTGTTATTTTCCTCTACTTCTTTTGTATGTTTGTCACTCTCTTGTGAACTGCTATTTCCGGGCTGCCTTGATAGTCAAAGCAGACTTTATGCTGTTCAGGCTAGAGAGGTGAGCAGAGTAAGCCTGATTCCCCATTTGGACTTCTCTATTGACATCAGCCTCTTGGCACTCATATGACCGTATGCAGTTGCGAGTGCCGCAAAACCTTACTAAAACTAAACTAAACACTTTTATCCATGTTTTGCAATGCGGTTTAGCTGGTGTCTTTCACCCTGTTTTTCTCTTACTTTTTCGTCAGTTTAAGAATAGTGATGTCATAAGAAATGAAAAGAAATGTCAGCTGTCTTGGAAATTACTAAGACACAGTGCTTTCAATCTTCAGTATTTATATGGAAATCCATACTTTCTGCTAGTTTCGTACTTGCTCCTCCATCATTATTAACTCCCTCCGTAAAAAAGTGCGACAACGTAGAGTTACTGAAACTCCTTTTGCAAAAGATGTGTACTTGCCTTCGTGTCATCTTGTATAAGTTCCAGATATTTACGATAATTCTCTCTGCAATAAGCTAAGGTTATAAAAACCTGCAGGATTGCGCATTTTCTGCAATTGGCCATTATTCCGTGAGGCCCCAATGCATTCATTGCAGATTGGTCGCTGTAAATGCTCCCTCATCATAATCAACTCCTTGTTATAGAAGCCAGATTGCACATTTCCTGCAATAGGCCATAGTTGTAACATTTTTGCAAATTTGTCGAAATCAAAAGAAATTTGTCAGTGCAATGATTCTATGGGAGCGCGATGAAATTTAAATCTATGCGAAAAATACATGGAGAGACAACAAATAGATGGTTTGGACATGTAATGAGAATGAGGCCACAACAACCAGCCTCCCATGTCTACAGCATGAGATTTTATGTCTTCAAGGGCACAATATAATCTATCCAAAAAGTAACACACCTGGAACACATCTGACGACATCTCCCCTCGTCCGTCCTAGTATAACAGGACATAAAACCCTCATGAAGTAAAAGTAAAGTAATAAATTACTAGTGCTATATTATTATTGTGGTTGGAATTGATTTTACCATGGGATGGGACGCACTGCAGCTCACTTTGTATCAGTCTGGGCTGTTGTGGGGATTACTCTGGTTCAAGTCCCTAATGGGAGTGTTCTGGAACTTTGGGTGGGTTTTTTTAAAGTTTAAAGCTCCCCAGCTACTCCTGCTGTCTCAGTGGTACAAAGAATTGTACTGCAGATGCTGATTTTCTCTTGAAGTTAAAAGGAAATAGAAGTTGACTGTTGTATGCCAGTGCACGTCTAATGTTACAGTCAAACTTGCTGTAACGGCCACCTGTCCAAGGCTGTCACCCGTACAGTCGCCTTCTTCTCCCCACTCCTTGCACCCTTTTCTTTATATAATGACATTGTCTAAGAGGGTCATCTAAGATGACTTTTCTTTGACAATGGATGGTCGTCTTGGATGGGCTCTTAGATAGATCTATTTTAACCCTTACAGCGCTGCGGTCGCGACGGCCCGAACTTCCGTAAAGCGCTGATCGCGACTTCCGGGGTCGCGATAGACCTTGGCATAGTATAACGCGATGTACGAAAAGAACGAAGTACTAATTTTTATACTGCTCGCTGGTAGGCTACGCAGAATTGATTTCGCCAACCATTTGTCTTGTTACGGGGTTCGATCGAGGCGCGAGGAGTTTTTTGTTTCATGTTGAAGTCGAGTGACAGTGAAGTTGGAAAATTTGCGATTGCGACCCACGACGAACACGAAAATAGTGTCGCTTCAGATGATGTTCCGCGTATTTTCCTTAATCGGAAGATGATTTCAAGGGTTTTGATGCCAAAGCTAACACTTTGTGGAATATAACGTAGGCCTACGAAGCATCTAGACTTTTGTCTAGATCTAGATCTAATGAACCGGCAGTTTTTATTCGGTCATTTCCAACACCACTACTACAACTTCACAAAATACTTTTTGCATCACATATTCATAAACAACTTTCAGTATTCTAAAACTTTTATTCTTACCTTCTTTAGAAATGTTGACAAATAAAAAAGTTGTTAGCAAAAAAAAGCGTGTGCAAATCTGGTGTTTTTCCAAAATAAATTCAGCAGAGAGGGAAAATATAAGGGGAAATAAGTCAGCGCTCTAAGGGTTAACTAGGTTCACCTATGAACAGAAGTTAGCTATTGTATTATAATTATAGTGCATTTCAATATTTAAGTTTGACTTGTCTCACCTTTGTGCTGCAGACAAGAATTTCAAGCCCTGGAGTTTGTTCGCCGAAGCAACATGGAAGACACAGCGGCTCAGCTTTTTGATCACTTGTTGTCCGAGTGCCAGAAAGGTAATTACTTTTTTTTTTGATGCTTGAAAAAGCTTAATTTCCTACAAATGCTCCATTCGTGGTACACAGGGGCTATAGCTGGGAGTGGTGTCCTTCCTTCTCAGAAGATTTTCGTGGATTTACAGTTTAAAAAGGTCCTGAGTGAAAAGGCAATTGCAGTTTTGTTCTTTTGCCTCAGTTCGAGGAAAAATGGCTGGCCATCAGTGCTCATCTTTTTTGAGAATGGTTGATACTTGTATTTTCAAGTTGTTAGGTCTGTCTCTAATTTTTTTTTTCCGGCTTTTATTTCTGTTGCTTTTTTCCTGGCTCTTTTTTTGTGTAGATGAATGAGTTTTATTGTACGTCCAAAGTTGTCTGTCGGCTGGGATCTGTATGTGTTTCCCCGGTTTGTGCCTCCACAGAGAGACTTCTGGGACAGCTGCTGCGTTGGAACCTGAGAGAGGTGGAGGAGAAACAGTTGGAGAGACATCTCCGTGGTCGTGGGGAAGTCCGAGCTCTGGAGCCACTGTTGCTGTATCACCTCAACCACTCACAGTTTGTGAAGGCGTTCCAGCTACACGATGATATGAAACACATGGACAAGGTACAAGACTCATTTAATTTTTCAATTGCAATTAATTCTTACTTCAGATCTCCCTTTACAACAGTAAACAATTTGTTACCTTTTCAGTTACAGGAGAATGTTATCTTTGGACCTCCCTTCATTTTGTAGCAATGACAATGAAAAATAAATTTTTTTCCGAATTGCCTTAAAACAAGCTGTAATGAAAGAGGAGTAAATTTTAAGAACTCGTTTTTGAATTTTAAAAATCAATTCATAAATGTGTGTGCGCCTAGAGAAAGGTACCAAAAGTCGCCCCAGACCGTTTCGAGCTACAGGCTGATAATGACAAAAATCACTTTTATAACCAAAATGTTTCCATTAAAAAAAATAATAGATCCAACATTTTTTTACAATGTGCTCAAAGGGTTTTCATTAGGCCAGGGCAAGATCGACGGCAAAAAGACTCGAGGCCTCGATTCCAAAACTGAAAAAGAATCGAGGAATCGAGTCCGATTTTCGAGTTTGGAAGCTGCTTCAAGTGGGCTGTTTAGAGAGGCCATGACTTGAACACTGCTAAAAAATAGCTCTTAAGATCGAGACCTCGAGTCTTGAACACTGCTAAAAATAGCTCTTAAGATCGAGACCTCGAGTCTTGAACACTGCTAAAAATAGCTCTTAAGATCGAGACCTCGAGTCGCGAGTTTGACAGACGTGGCTGGCTAAGCCTGCGCGCGTGCCAAGGCACGTTGACTTTCACTCATTTGTGTGTGTGTGTGTGTATCGTGTGTGTTTGCGTGTGTGTGTGTATGTGTGTTTGGGTGTGGGTGTGTGTGTGTGTGTGTGTGTAAGTGTGTGTGTATGTGCGCGCGCGTGCGCGTGCGCGCGCGCGTGTGTGTATGTGTGTGCGCGTGTGTGTGTGTGTGTGTGCGTGTGTGTGTGTGTGTGTGTGTGTGTGTGTGTGTGTGTGTGTGTGTGTGTGTGTTGCCTCCCTTCTATCACTCTTGCCAATGCGTGGGGCACAGGCTCCTTCTCTCTTGCGCTATCAAGGCCTAGTGCACGCCGAATTCAAATAGTGAAAAAAAACATAAGTAAACAAAACTCACAAAAATTAATTTAACTTGGTAATCGGGCGTTAAAATGGGTTCCCCGCGTAATTATTGCTAATTTTGAGTCGCTGATCACGAAAATCTTATTATTTCTTAAATTTGGCCAATATTTAAGAAATTTTTGGAATGCATTTTTAACTCCGCCTAGGCCAACATCAAAGAAGTCGCCTTATGCGCCGGATCAGTCCCGTCCTGGTGCGGTGTCTGTTTTGAAGCAAAAAACTCGACTGTGGGGTGGTACAGCCCTAGGCCTAGGCCTATACCATGACAGGACTGTAATAGTGATGTAGAGATTTAGATTCTTGCCTCGATTCTCGGAGTCTATACTAGGCTAGGAACCAGGCTAAAAAAAGGAGACAGGAGGCGTTGACCCTGGGCGGACTCGAAGCTTAGAGTCTGGGAATAAGATCGATTCTTTGAGTCCTCATTTGGACTCGAAAGAATCGGTCCCAGAGTCGATCTTGCCCTGGCCTAGTTTTCATTGATTTGACTTCTAAATATTTTATTTTGAATTATTTTGAGGGAAGGATATAATAAAAACAAATAATGAAAACTGCTTTTTAAAGGTTTCAGAATTTATTGTTGAAGCACGTTTTCTCTTCCCTGCTATGTTTTACCATTGAATTTCATTCATAACATCAATGTCAACAGAATGCCACATTGGAAATGAAATTTCCATGAATCAATACATTTAAAAAATCATTTTAAAAATAGTTTGTATGTGTTCTCACGTTTGTTAAACTTAAAAGCTCATTTTCTGAAAATTATATTTTTTATACTCTACTCGCAAAATGTGCAATATCTCAAAAACTAATTGAGATATCTAAAAAATTCACTGAATTTCCTCTTAGGAACAACCCATAACTCAAAATGGTCAAAATCCGACTTTTGGTACCCTTTTTAGGCACATACAATCAAATAAAAAAGTTATTGGGATTTTTTGTTGCAAAATTTTGGGGAAAAGGTCGAGAAAAAGTGGGACATTTCTTGATGTATTTTGAGGGAAAACTGTTAAAGTCCGTAATCAATTGGAGTATAAGAATGAAACTTTGCATCTTCATGTGATTTTCAGTGCAGAATCTAGTTCTGCTATCACTTTTTCAATGTCTTTATTACTTTGGATCTTTAAGGCTAATATTTGCGTGAATATTTGTTGAATTGAATGACTTAACTTGAACTGCTACTGATACTGCACAGGCTTGCGACTTGTGAGGCATTAAAAAACGTAACAAGTTTTCAACACATCTTTGTTTAAAAACTACTTTGGTCTAATTTTTAACGTACTGAGCAGAAATATAGTTGAATACATTCCACCTCGTACAGAAATGATATAACTTTGATCTTTAACGAATCAGTGCTGTTCTCCAATCACCCATTCTACAACTTATTAAACCCATAATGGAAGCGACCTATTTAGTTGTAGGCGGTCAATCACATGTCACCTAGCGATCACGCACTTTTCGCAAGCCGGCTGGCGAGCTTAAGTTTGCGACCGAGTTTCTGGCTCCAGTCTTTTATCCCTGGATGGGTGGTAATTTTAAGTTGGTACGTGAAATATACTACACACATGGATCTGAAATTTAACAGCAATTAAGGAGACATGTGGGGCATCTGTCTGGTTGGCATCCATGCAGTAGCTCCTCTTAGCACAGGTTCCTGAAATCGGTCGGCATTAGACGCTTGCATTAGTAAGTTTGGCCTTTTTCTCTGGTTCTAAGGCAAACGTTAAAGAGTGGTAATGAAAAGGAGTGCTATGCCGATTTGTTTCTTTTCTCAGTAGAATAAATACAAAGGCCAAAGAAGGATGGGTACGTGTTCTCAAATATATTTGTCTAAATTCAGGAAATGAATAAATAAAAAAAATCAGGCGCCGTCGTGGGGACCTGTCTATATTTTTGCAGGTACTTGCCAACTTTCAACTCTGTAGCCGTTATAGTTTTATGGGAAAAGTGACACGTGTTTCCAAGTTGCCAAATATATAATAGATACCGCGTGACACAAAAAAACTAACCCTCGGTTTTCGTAATAGCTTAACAAAAATTTGACGGGAGAGTTATGAAACAACCTCTAAAAATATAAAATAAGCTTACGCTCCAATCAATTCAGGTCCTGTTCCATTTTTCTCTCGAAACCTTCGATACTCCTGTAATCTGTATTTAGATCTCTTTCAGATATTTTGTTTTAAAACCTGTATGGTATAGTTTTTGCACTAAGTTAAATCGTAAAATACAGCCAAAAATTTATAAACAATAATAGTAATAATGTAGATCGTTTCTATAGTGCCCACTCCAGTGTGAACACGGCTTAAGGCGCTTTACAAAAATGCATTATGTACGAACAATATTCAGGCTCCCGTGCGCACTCGCACGCACACACACCCGCATACACACACACTCACACACACACATAAATAATAATAATAATATATAACATTTATATAGCGCATTTCCAAAAAAGTAGCTCAATGCGCTTTAGATTGGAATACCCCTTTTTCAAAAACCTTTCTTACTACTTCCTTTCTTCTCTTGCAATATACATTAATGCACACACACACACACACACACACACACACACACACACACACACACACACGGACTATTTTCATTCAGACAAAGGCATAGAACAACAATAAAATAAAAAAAATTATGACGTTAAAATTAAACGCTTATGAAGGATAGGCCTGTAGGCAATCATATTCTGTGACTTTAAAAGAGTACACATCCTATTCTAGCAGTATGAGTCAGTGTGCATAAATAATGTCCGTAGTTGAGATATCCGAGTGAGCGTTAGTGTATAAACAGTGCCCCCC